TTCTCAAAAGTTAAAGTTGGCAAAGATTTAGTGAACAAATCTGCTGGATTGTCACTTGAACGAATTTGCTGCACAACGATATTACAACTCTTCTCGAGATCATGTGTGAAGAATAACTTTGGTAAAATGTGTTTCGTTCTATCTCCTTTTTATGAATCCTCCATTTAATTGGGCTATGCATGCAATATTGTCTTCGTATAAGATTGTGGGTTTCTTATCACATTCCAACCCATATTTTTCTCGAATAAAATGAATCATTGTTCTCAACTATACGCATTTCCTACTTGCTTCATGAATAACTATTATCTCATCATGATTTGAAGAAGTAGCAACAATAGATTGCTTTGTGAAGTTTCACGATATGATAATACCTCCACATGTAAACGCATACCCGGTTTGAGATCAAGCCTTATGAGGATCAGATAAATAACGTGCATCTGCATAACCAACAAGATATGCACTACCTTTGTTAGCATAAAACAAACCCATATCAAGAGTTCCCTTTAAATATCGCAAAATATGCTTAATCCTATTCCAATATCTCCGTGTAGGAGAATTTCTATATCTTGCTAGTAAATTAACAGAAAATGCTATGTCAGGCCTTGTAGCATTAGCAAGATACATAAGTACACCAATTGTACTGAGATAGGGCGTTTCATGACCAAGGAGTTCCTCATCCTCTTCCGGAGGTCGGAATGGGTCCTTATTCACTTCAAGTGATCGGATAACCATTGTTGTACTCAATGGGTGTGCTTTGTCCATGTAAAAGCGTTTTAAGACCCTTTATGTATAGGCAAATTGATGCATAAAGATCCCGTCTGCTAAATGTTCAATTTGCAGTCCAAGACAAAGCTTTATCTTTCCAAGATTTTTCATCTTAAATTCTTTCTTAAGATATTCAATTGCCTTTTGGAGCTCTTCTAGAGTTCCAAAAAGATTTATGGCATTAACATAAACAGCAAGTATAACAAATTCTGATGTCATTTTCTTTATAAAAATACATGGATAAATAACATCATTTATATAACCTTCTTTCAACAAATATTCACTAAGGCGATTATACCACATGCGCCCAGATTGCTTTAAACCATATAAAGATCTTTGTAATCTGATTGAATACATTTTCCTAGATTTTGAATTTGCTTCAGGCATTTTAAATCTTTCAGGGATCTTCGTATAGAATTAATCAAATGAGTCATGTAGGTTACGACTTATATTTAAATGGCATGACATCTTAAGGTGTCTGGACTACAAGTTTGATCCTCACAATCTTTTACAATATTGTACACTATATTGTATAAAATATATCGTCGACGATCATTTCTTATCAGTTCGCAAATGACATAACTTGTTGAGATCTCATCACTTTCTTTATTTTCAGGTACCTGAACTTCTTCTTGAGTTTCATGAAATGTTATGTCGGGGGCTCTTCCAAAGCCTATTTCCTCCTTATTGTGATCATTTTGATCATTTGCTCCTATTCTTTTCAAGGATTGTTACCTTTGGAACCGATTGGTCTACCGCGCTTCATGCGTACAGTAAACTCTATCCTTCAGGGACTTTAATTTTAATATGAGCGTTTGCAGCTGAAATATGATATTTAATTTTGGATCAGCAAATGCTTCTGGCATTTGACTTGAATTATCTTCTAAGCGAGAATCATATTAATGATAATTCGATCCATATAGCATATTTTTCAGCTGTTTTATTCCATCCCCCAAATGTTAGAAAAACTAACTCATTTCCCCAATCTTCTTTGGGAAACATATCTTTGTGCATTGTGGTAGAGAAATTAATCATATATCACACATCAAAAGTTATTAGATAGTAAAAATATTTAGTTTCTGATCCTAGACCATTTGTGAGGGGAGGACTTATCATATTTTGTTGGTCTGATGCATACAAGTGTTGTTGTATGCAATTTAGAAAATCTTAGACCAACACATGAGGCTTTGTTCTCATAAGCAATAGTTTAACCATTAATAGGAGGTATTCAATGCTAACCTGGCTTGGATATAAACCAACATCATCAAGATGAACTATCTTGATTTCATAATCTGAAAATTATGCTCTTAATTAAGAAAGACAGTTTCAAATGCCAAACTGCAGGTTAACAATAAACATACATGTAACCATCTTATATATGCATCTATAAGTGGTTCACATGATAGGTGAATGGACCCATATTCACCTTTTATATATTCTAGAATTCGGGAATTTTAGTCCCAACTTTAGTTGGTATAATCAAGTTATTATGAGAACAAGCAACACAAGAGAATTCTTGAAGAATCTTCTAGTTCTTCAGTATATGCTTATCTGAATTTTCAAATATCTCATTTAAAAATGGTAAATGAAAACTTCAAGTTTATCATGGCATGTGCTATCTCTAAGTAAACTTCTGGTTTACTATGGCATAAACTTTTGCATCAGTAAACTTCTGATTTACTGTGGTTACTTTTGTATCAGTAAATTTTTGATTTACTGTGACTGCTTTTGCATTAGTGATACATGATGTAGTACAAATTTGAAGAATAAGGAAGGTAATTTCTCACATACATATTTACACTATATGATTGTGAAAACACGAAGATTTTTAATCTTTCAATCATCTGTAGTCTTAGTATGATAGTCATATGTATTAGTAAACTTCAGTTTATCATAACATATGTTTTGACCACAATAATGACAAATAAGCTCTTCGGGAGCCTTCCATTTATTGTCCACAATCAAATATTATTCAGACACTACTGTGTCATGTGTCTTCTAGACAAATAATTAGCTCTTTAGGAGCTTTTGTTGTACTACCAAATATTGCTCAGACACTTCTGGTGTCATGAGAGAAAATCATAATCAAATGAACAATATAAAGTTAATTCTAAATTTATAAATGACGAAAATTAAGAATTTTAATATTTTTACTACTAAATTTGTGACAAATATCTCCTTCAAGGAGAAATATTATTAACATCTGAATATTTTGTATCAATACGGCAACCACATAGTCATTGCATCTTTTAAAGAAAGATGCATGAGTTGTTATTTCCTTCGGGGAACTCAATAACTAACCATAATATATTATTGTGGTTGTAGTAAAAAGCATTCTACAAGAATGTTTTTGCCTTAGAATGATACATAATAAAATTATCCAAGATGTTTTACGTACAACAGGTACGTGTAGCAATGATCTTTATGCCACAAAAATAATATTTATATCATTTGTTATTCTAGCTCTCCCGGAGGTGAGTTGTAGTATTTCTTCATTCACTCCAGGGAATAAAAATGTGCTTCAAAAATAATTTTGAATAGCTCATTATTTTATTTATGCAGAGAAAGACACAGTTTTATAATATATTCCTTCTTCAGGAGAAAAATTCAATTGTGTTACTTCTTCAGGAGCAAATTAAAATACGAAAAATTGAGTATATATTCTCTCAATCGTATTACCTCTTCTGGAGGTGAATCGTAATATATTTACATCAACAGCGCGCTCATATTTATGCCTTTATTAATATTGTCACATTCACTTCGGGGAATGGCTTAATATTTATAAAAAATTTCATCCTTCAGGAAATCAAACATAATTATCTGAACATGCATTAATCACATCAAATTGTGATGCTTCAACTTCTTTTAAAATATTTACTACTTCAGGAGCAAATCGAGGCGTGCATGTAATATAGAGAATATTTCTCTAGCTTATCTTTAATTGTAACCATAGAAAGTTCAAATTATCACTTCTGGTGGTCATAGGCATATACCACTTCTAGTGGTTAACAAAATTTAGTTACAATGAGATATACGAAATATAACCACTTCTGGTAGTTGTATATTTCTTGCAAACTCTGCTGGAGTTTAAGTGGATGTAACAATTTTATCCACTTTGTAATCCTTTATTAAGATAATTAGGATGAAAACAAATACCAAAATAGGTATTGTATATGTAACATATAACCAAGCATGCGATGATAAAGATATTAAAATATAAGCATAAGGCTCAAATTAAATTACGTAAATTTGGCCACTCTAAATGTAAGTGATATCTACGTCACTATTGCCAAGAAGAAAAACTTACCACCTCAAGAATATAATTTGTCTTATGATGCTCGGAATGAACAAGATCTAATCACGGACATAGGAGTCTCGCATCGAAGATGAACACAACTAACAAGGGATCGCTGGAGAAGGTATGCCTTTGGGATTTTACTCTTCATGTAGATGGTCAAAGAGTTCTCTCCAATGAGACGCGGCTTCTTCTAGGGTTCGAAATGACCACAGGTAAGGCTTTGCTTTCTCACGTGTTTCCAAAATTTCCTCCACTTCAGAAGACCTTTTGGTTTTTAAAGTGAGACAACCAATTAGAGCACTCCACTTCTGACTACAATTATCAAGGACACCAACTCTATAGTACTGCTGCACCTGATGGACTGGAGAGTAGTAGAACCAGAGGGCATCAAAGTAAGGGGCGCATGATACTCGTCGTGGTTGCTTTTTTGAACTCATCTGAAAGGTTTGCTGAATTCGTCGGTAGAAACGTTGATGGCAAATAAGTATAAAGAGCTCCGATTAACCGGTGATGTCGGAAGTAGCAAAATCGGTAAACTGCGTGGGCCCATTAGCTCAGTTGGTTAGAGCATCGTACTGATAACGTGTTATAAAATAAAACTGAAAACGTGTTATAAAATAAAAACTGTAAAGTAAAGATAAGTATAGAGAGAAATTGATAAATTATTCAAATTAAAATTTATGTACCTAATGAACTGCAAATTATTTTATTTAGCTGCTTGCAACCTGCGTGCATCAGCTGCTTGTTAGATAAACTTCAACAGAGTACTAATAAATAAACATACACAATATAATTATTTTGATCATTATTGTATAACAGAGGCGTATTTTTTGACCATTTGCATCTAACATATTAAAATTTTATTTCAGAAGTGAAAGTTCTTCAATGAATAGTACTCCCCATTTTTTCGCTTTCCAATTGGAATGGTAGCGCGAACAAAACAGGTTCAGATTTCGAAAAGCCAAAAATATAAAGGGGTAAAGTGAAAATAACACCAAAAGAGCAGCTGCAAGATATTTTTGCATTTGGCACCAATTCACACACAACACTGAAGCTGAACTACCTGAATCTGGCGACACAAACTTCCGGTATGGAGTCCAACGCCGGTACAGCCGACGGCGAGACTGTAATTCTCAACTGTATCGACCCCAACGGCTCCAGTCTACATGAAGATCACGAAGAGATTGTCATTTCAACAGTTGAAGTCGGTCAGTGGGACTTACCATCACTTGCTCATCGCCCAATCATTAAAATTAAAGCTAATCGGCAAAGGTAAATTACGTATTTTATACCTTTAACATTTGTAAAGAAGTGTTTTGTTTTTTGCTTTTCGTTTAACTCGATCTTTGAACTTTCAGGCTCGTTCAGCACTCGTCATATTTTCACGGACTATTGTGTGGAAGCTTTAGGTATAATTTCTTTTATTCATCTTTAGTTGTTTCTTACTCCTACAACAACAACAACAGCAACAAACCCAGTTTGATCCCATAAATGGGGTCTGTTTCTTACTCCTACATGGTAAATAAATATTCTACTATTAAGTACAAAATCTGAACTTAATTTTCTGTGGAATGTTATGGGGCATGATAATATGAATATGGTTAATAACTCTCCCCCTCAAGTTGGAGCATATAGATCGCGAGCTCCGAACTTGCTATACATAAATGTGATCCTCGGGGTTCATAATTCATTCGTAAATAGTGGTGATGAGTGAGGAATGTGTTTTGCCGCAGATAAAGTGATAATCAATCTCAATATGTTTCGTCCTCTGATAGGATACTAGTTTAGATGCGTTGTTATCACATCTTGATTGTGACAAACTAAAATTCATTTGAATTAACTCAAGTATATGGTTTAGCCGCATAAGCTCATGGTGTTGTTAGGACCATAGCTCTATATGCAACTTCTACACTCGATCTAGTAGCCACATTTTGCTTGTTACTTGTCCAAGAGACCAGGTTTCTACCACTCAAAACAAAGTATCGAGACGTAGGTCGCTATCTGATGGAGATCCAACCCTATATTCATTTACAAACCTGAAAATTTTACTATTTCCTTGATCTTGTAGAGTATTCCTTGTCCTAGATTACTCTTGAATTATATCAAAGGATGTGTACCACTTCATCTCATTAACTATCACAAGTGCCTTGAAAAAACTGACTGATAATATTGACAACAACGCAATATCTAGACAATGCTAAAGATAATTCAACTTACCAATCTTAGGACTCCTCAGCCTTGAAGTTGCTTGACTTTAGGATGTATAGGTGAGTCGATTGGTCGATAGTTAGGCATACCGGTTTTGCCCAAAATAGCCGGAGCAACTTTCCTCTATAGAGAGGGACAAATGAATTGGACTAACCAACCTTCATCCCCAACAAGTACTTGTGTTATTCCGTATGGAAGTAAGTGAGAGATGTTATTTTATTACCTAAATATTTACTGTTGTCTCCGGTAATAATTTATCATCCACATATATGGCAAGGTAGAGACATCAACTCTGCGTAGAGTGTCGATAAAAAATGGAATGATCTGACTAGATATGGGCTAATCAAAATTGTTGAACTACAGAATCAAAACGTCCAAACCAAGCTCATGGAGACTGGTCATATCGTCTGAGACTCCTGAATCAAGAAGTCACCCAAAGGATGAAGACTGGGGTAGATATGTAGCTGAATTGCCTTTATATGTGAGAGAGATGGTAGAAAATTTGTAGGGGCCTTAAATTTTAGGAATATGTTGCAATTGTCATTAGAAACCACAATTGACTGATCTCCTGAAGGGGCTTTCTATTTTTATTTGACAATATAGAATTTATGATTAGAAAAGAAGGAATAACTTGTCTTTGATATACTTTTAAGGAGTGGATTTTGACAAAATCCAACTGAAAAATAGATCCAGCACGTCGAAAAATCAAAGTACCTTTTTTGGTCTTGTACTTGCTGGCATGCCATTGAATGTACTACTGACGTGGGCTAACTGGACTATTGGGTGAACTAACTGATTAATGATGTGGCGGCTGGCTGAACCTAATGTGGTGCTAACATGGAACATTACCAGAATAAAAGCTGGTGACTAGATGAATGCCCCGGCAGTGATGGACTCTGTTGGAGCATGAGGGCTCGTATGGTATGCCTTTTGACCAGTATCCTTTTTCGACTATCATGTTCATCACGACGAGATGCATCTCCAGGTGTAGTGGTTGATTGGATGAGACACAGATCTTGAAGCGACGGGCGTACACCATACTATTTTTGTCAGAAAACTCTTTTGGTGATTGAAAGCAACTCAAGCTTCGATATTCCCTCCCCTTAGTTCTTACACCTTGTGAAGCACAAGAGAATTAAATGAATTTTCTTGTATTGACTATTGAGTGAATAATAATGTACAAGAATAACTTCATATATAGAAGTTTTAGAGTACGTATAATATGTAAACAGTTATTTCCTTCTCCTAACGCGATAAGTAAATGTTCTCCTATTCCTTATGTTTCATTTTATATGACAATGTTTGATTGGTATGGAGTATAACTAATAAAGAGAGACTATTGACACAAGCTAAATATGTATACCATACCAAAATACCTTTTATCTTGTGGTTGTATACATGACATATCATGCTTATAAGAGAGTGCTTTAAAGGTAAAATGTGAGTGTTAGAATTAAGGAGTTACCAGATATAGTAAGATGTCAATTTTTTGGAACGTACTAAAAAGGAAGGTTGTTATATGAAATATAATGGAGGGAGTAATAATTATATAGAATATACGTAGAATATTATATGGGATGTTACAGGAGATAATGCATGAAGAAGATTATAACGTAATTACTTCTTTTTTTAAAATAAGTATTATAACGTAATTGCTTTCTTTTCTGAGATTACCTTACCTCTTAATTGTATGGTTACTGTTTCAGTGAATCTTGCTTCGACTCTATATCTATTCATTGGGACATGGAGTCTCTTTTGAGCATGTTGAGGTTTCTTTTTGGATGTTCATTGGACCTTACTTCAGAGAACTTCCTTCCGTTGTATGAGGTAAGAATTCCAGTTGCCAATATATTTTCATCACTGAAGGTGTCAACAATTCCTTTTATCTGCTGAAGAAGTTTCACTGAATTTCTGAGTGTATTTTCTGTTGGTCACCTGAAAACTTCTCAGAGTACTTTACCATTTTTTGTTAGCCTAGTAAGGTCATATTGCCTGCGGAGTAAGTAGTGCCCTTTTAGCGGATAAGAGTTCAGTATGCCTCTTTTTTTTGGGGTTAGGAGGGTGGGGTTAAATAAGGTAATTTATTCTATCAATCAAAACAGCACCTAGGAGGTATTGAATGTGTATCATTGCAAAAACTCAGTCTTCCATCGTAAATGTAGGGAACTGAGGAAATCTAATTTAGGGTCTAAATCATTCATTCAGCACGGTATACCAAAAGTGTGCTGCGTTTGCATTGAGCTCAATGCTGCTAGAGTGTTCCAGGACAAAAACATGCTCCAACTTTAGTTTGGGAAAGGTTCGTCTTTGCATCGCAATGTTGTAACATAGTGGAATATTTTTCTGGGATAACATTGACTTCCCTCCAAAGCAGTTACAAACTATGTTGCTCGGACTCCTCGTGCGAGTATCTGATATTGGTGCTGATTTAGAGGTCGAATTCTTCAGCACATAAATTTTAAGATTCGGGGCTATGGATCCGAGTGCAGATACGGAACAATAAATTTATATATTTCGATTAGTTAAAGTTATTGAACTAAAACTAATTAAAACTTAATTCTTTATAAACACCTAATATTTTTTTCATAAGATATCTCGTGTAATAGAAAAGCATTCTCATACATTACGTATAACAATGTCATATATATATTAAACATTGTTAGTGTCCCACATCGGTTGGGTGGGAGGCCATTTGTCTCCTTATATGTCCTTGGGCAATCCTCACCTTTTAAGCTAGCTTTTGGGGTTGAGTTACGCCCAAGGACCATTTAGCATGGTATAAGAGCCAGGCCCCCCAAATAATCGTGTCACCAGATGTTGGACCCCCATATTATCTTGTCCACGCTCCAGTTACCAAGCCTGGGCGGCAGGGGTGTTAGTATCCCACATCGATGGGTGGGAGACATATATGTCTCATTATTTGGACTTGGACAATCCTCACCTAGCTAGCTTTTCGAGTTGAGTTAGGTCCAAGATCCATTTTTTTATCATGGTATCAGAGCCAGGTCCCTGATGTTGGGCCCCAGGATAGATTGTTCACGCTCCAACTGACAGGTCTGAGCGTCAAGGGGGAGGGGTGATGGAATCCTACATCAGAAATGAATGGGTTCCTTGGATTCTTTATATAGCTTGGGCAATCCACATCCTTTGAGCTAGCTTTTGGAGTTAAGCTAGGTCCAAAGTCCATTTATCATGGTATCAGAACCAGGCCCATCCCAATTTATTATTATCGATGTTGGACTCCCATTTATGTTGTCCACGCTGTAGTTTGCAAGCCTGGGCGTGATGTGGGGGGTGGAGTGTTGAATCGTGTCCCATATCGGTGGATAATGGGTGTCTTGGTCTCCTTATATAGTCTTGGGCAATCCTTACCTCATAAGCTAGCTATCAAACCAAATATCCAATCAATCTATACTTCTTGGTCATAAAATGTAGTTAAAGTACCCAAGGTAACCAAATTCGGTATGGATTCCACACCCACACCCATGTTGTGTCGACACAGATGCGATATGGATTTTGAAGAGTCCGCGCAACATATGTTACAAACATGTTTATTTAAAGTTTCATTCTTTTATATTCAGATTTTGTCAATTAAGGATGTTAGATAGTTATGTGTAAATGATTCTAGTCTCATATGTAGTAGGAGTAAAATATGTCTTAGTCGCATATGTAGTAAAAATATGTATTATATATAGGGCACATTGTATCATTGTTAAAAAATATAATTTTCTCCCGTGCATTCTCACATGGTATCAAAGCTTCAGTAAGAAAGTTATCGTTGTGCGTCATTCCAACGACATCCGAAAAGAAAGATCTCGTCGCCGTGCAATTTTCCGGCAACTTCGTCTTGTTCCCCGGGTTCATCACTGCTATAGTGGTACTGTGCATATACAAGTACCACCATCAGATTCGAAACTCTTGTGCGACCAAACCCCAAAAATCCCAGAAATCCCAGTCCCATCGAAACAGAAAAGTCAGTCACCGTGCGTCTTTCCGATTGACGACTCAAGATTGATTTGCGTTATCTCCTCATCGATAAGTGTTGTGCGAAAACCAACACTACCATCCTGTTCGGAAAATTCAGGCGACAAAACCCCAGTCAATTGCTCTGGCAAAAAGTCCCTCACGCGCCATCAGAACTAGGGTTCCGGTGAGCGCGTCTGACACACACGCCTGCGCGTGGAGCACTTTCCAGCTAGAATTTTCAAAAAATTCTTCAGGACAGTTGTTTCGTGGGGTGATTCCGAGTCCACTGGTACAATTTCCTACAAATTTCGAGAACTTGGAGTTTTCCGGCGAGTTACAGTTAGGGGTGTTCATCGGTCGGTACGGTATTTAGACTATTCGGTTCGGTATTTTCGGTATTCGGTTTCCTAAAATGCTATACCAATACCGTTCCTAATTAAATTCGGTATGGTTTGGCTTTTCGCCTTTCGGTTTCGGTTTATTCGGTACGGTAACTTCGGTTTGTTCGGCTCTAAAACAACTTTTCGAACGTAATATTTTGGGGAGCATAAGTTTAGAATAATGTTTACAAACTTCATCAACATGTAAATATGTCTGGTCTAAAGCTCTAACTTGCATCTCTATAATGCACCAGACACCAGTAAGCTTCTCAAAATGTGACCAAAATAAGTATTTACAAGTGTTGTTTACATAAACCATTCGTGTACCATCCATTAACCACATAGACAAAAATAGGTGGCGCACAGGCTTTAGCAAAAGAACATGGAACTAGAAACATTCTCCTGAAGCTCTCTGGTAACTTCGTGCTGCAAGGGTGACATGATATTTAAAATTAATCCAATATCTAACAAAATAAATTGATGACATTTATCAACTAAATAAAAGCTTGACTTACCATATGTGTTGCAACTAACAACTATACATCAACGATGCAAGGCTCTGTTCCATTGTTGGGCAAGCCTAAAGAGAATTCAAGGTAATTTGTTATGCAATATGAACAATAAACTAATTGAAAATATCAATATAGAGTGCATACAAATAAAATATTCTTACCAAGTTCAAATTGTACGAGATAATCTATATCTTCCTAAACTCTAACAGGAAGTAATTCGTTTCGAAGCCAATCTTGACAACACACAAGAGCTTGTACTAATTTGGGAGTCAATGAGCTCCTAAAACAATCAAGAATACGGTCTCCCGTACTAAAAGCACTCTCTGATGCCACACTAGACATAGGAGCCAAAACATCACGAGCAATCTCGACAACAATCGGAAATCTAGGTTTGTTCACTTTCTACCAAAGCAAGATATCAAAACCATCACCTCCATCATCACATTCTTCATCTAGATACTTCTATAACTCTGTTTTAGCATCTGAATTTTCATTTTCAGCTTTGTGCCTCTTGTATTGTTGTGAAAATGTTTCCTTTAAAGTTTTAGATTGAGTTCCATGACTACTTGCACTTGACGTCTCTGATGAGCTACTTGATGAAGAAGATGAAGCATGATCATTTTTTGAGTGTTTCTTTGCATACTCATTAAACAAAGAAGTCATGTAGCTTTTCACTTCTCCTACCATATTTTTTCCTGTTTCTTCCCCGAACATGCTCACAAGTGCATAAGTAACATACTCAAACTTATGGCGCGGATCCAAAATACATGCAATAAAGATCATCTTATTCATCTTTTCTGGAGTACTCCAATACTTGTCAAATTTTTCTTTCATCTTTCCTGCCATTGAACTCAAGTCAACGTTATCTTCTGCTATCAAACTTTTCAAATTATAATGAAGTTCACATATTTCAACAAAATGAACATTTGATGTAACATAAAGTGAACCAGAGATCTTCAAGGTAAGTACAAAAAAAGTTTCAAGAAATCTCACCATGAGCCTCACACTTTCCCAATCAGAACTTACAAGTGCACCCACTAATTTTCCATCTTCACACACATGAGTAAGAGGATATTGCAACAATCCATGATCAAGAGCACCATAACTTGCAAATGCATGCTCGAATTCTTTTATCACATTTAACATCAAGTAGGTGGAGTTCCACCTAGTAGGAACATCCAAGCATAGTGATTTCTTACATGCAATCTTTTCAATTTCACAACATTCTTTAAACTTTTTCCACCTCGCAGGAGATTGCCTAATATATCTTACTGCTTGTCTAACGCGTTTCACAGAATCACCCACTTCTTTCAGACCATCTTGAACAACAAGATTGAGGATGTGAGCCATATATCTCATATGGAGGTGTTTACCATCCATCATATTAGTTCCCCATTTGGTAAGTTGCTTAGACAACTCTTCCACTGTGACATCATTTGAACTTGCGTTATCAACTGTAACAGTCCATATGCGACTGTTACATATGTAACAGATATTTTAACAAGTCCCTCGTTGGTCCTTGTATTAGTTACATATGTAACAAGCTCAGTACATATGATTTGTATGCACCGGCTTGAGGGAGAGTGCTAGATAGTTATGTGTAGATAATTCTAGTCTCATATGTGGTAGGAGTAGAATATGTCCTTGTCCCATATGTAGTAGGAGTAGAATATGTATTATATATAGGGCTCATTGTATCATTGTTAAAAAATAGATTTTTCTCCCGTGCATTTTCACAAAGGACATCTTGTCAATAGAATAGTTTTTGATTAATAATTCGAATCTTGATTTTTGTTCCCTTCCCATTCTTATTTGCCATGGTGTTGGACGCACTGACACACCATATTCAAGGAGAGGTGCCATGGTGTATGTTATTCGCTGATGACATTGTTCTGATTGACGAGACGCGGAGTAGCGTTAACGAGAGGCTGGAGGTTTGGAGACAGGCCCTTGAGTCTAAGGGTTTCAAGTTGAGCAGGACGAAGATGGAATATCTTGAGTGCAAGTTCAGTGCCGAGCCGAGGGAAGCGGGCATGGACGTGAGGCTTGGATCGCAGGTCATTTCCAAGAGAGGCAGTTTCAAGTACCTTGGGTCGGTTATCCAGGGGGATGGGGAGATCGATGAGGATGTCACACACCGTATAGGGGTGGGGTGGATGAAATGAAAGTTAGCATCTAGAGTCCTGTGTGACAAGAAAGTGACACCGCTACTCAAAGGTAAGTTTTATAGAGCGGTGGTTAGACCGGCCATGTTGTATGGGGCTGAGTGTTGGCTGCTGGCTAGTTAAGAACTCACATATCAAGAAGATGAAAGTAGCAGGAATGAGGATGTTGAGGTGGATGTGCGGGCACACTAGGATGGATAAGATTAGGAATGAAGATATTCGGGAGAAGGTGGGCGTGACTCCCATTGATGACAAGATGAGGGAAACGAGGCTCAGATGGTTCGGGCACGTACAAAGGAGAAGCTTGGATGCCCCGGTAAGGAGGTGCGAGCGGTTGGCGTTGGTGGGTATGAGGAGAGGTAGAGGGCGGCCGAAGAAGTATTGGGGAGAGGTGATCAGGCGGGATATGACGAGACTTCAGATCTCCGAGGACATGGCACTCGATAGGAAGCGGTGGAGGTCGAGCATTAAGGTTGTAGGTTAGGAGGTTGTTGAGCATATTTAGTCTACCAGTATGAGGCTAGGCTGATAGGATTTAGTCTTAGACTGCTAGTGGTCAATGTTGTGTTTACACTACTCTTCCGTTTTCATAGTGTCGGGCCTTATTTACTGGTTATTATTTCTGCTTTCCATCTATATACTGGTTCTTGTGGTGATGTTATTAATTCTATGGTTTTTTGTTGATGGCACTGACATATTGTCTCTTTTCGTTCTCTTGAGTCGAGGGTCTATCGGAAACAGCCTCTCTACCCCTCAGGTAGAGATAAGGTCTGCGTACACACTACCCTTCCCAGACCCCACTTGTGAGATTTTACTGGGTCGTTGTTGTTGTTGTTGTTGTTGTTGTTATTGTTGTTGTTGTCGTCTCTTCTTCCGTGAGAGGGTAGAAAGGAGTGATCTATGTCACGTTGGAAAGATGTTCATTTTTCTCTCTTTTGATGTTTTACCACAACTGAAGGTCTCTTTTGACTGGATAGTTGCTCTGCAAGTCTCTAACACGTGATTAGATGCAATCTGTTGTTTGTTCAATAATTTCTAATATCTGATCGTAGACATTTTTCTTGATAAATCTCTGATCTTGCACACTTACTGCGTCAGGCTGCATTATTTTTTGGAGTGGAAAAGCTTCTTTTGGTTTGTCGAAGTTGGCTGAACTATGTAACATCAGAAGGCAGGATTCGGCCTCCTCAATTGCATTTAGGAGATTTGGTCCATATCTGGGAGTATGGTAGAGAGAATGGTAACAATGTCTTTGATTTTTGGTTACTGGAAAAATGATAATTGCAGCATATTGCTATTCATATTACATTTTTAATGTGATACCATGGGTTGTCTCTTATAGATTAACATGGGATATCATGCAGCAACTGATTTTATTCCACAATTGACTGATTGTCTAGCGAGGAACTTTGTAAGTGCTTAAATTGTACTATGTCCCAGTCCCCAAATTGTCTGTTATTGAATGTTTTCTTGAATTGATTAGTTTGATTCAAATGTATATACACACAGCATGCCTCTATAGGATGGTCGATTAAACCGTACTGCACATCCTTTAATGTTTCTTTGTCCATCCTTTCTCTTCCTTGATTTCGCTCCTTCTCCAGCTTCATTTTTCTTCTCCTCCATCCAGTTACTATCTCTTTTCCATTTCCTTCATGCTTCTTTCTTCTCTTTTTTTTTTTTTGATTTCCCACTGGCAACTTCAATAAAGACAAGTTGCAAAAACTTTGGCAACAATTTTGCTGTTTAGTTGCAGAACTCACTTGATGTAATTATCAGATCAATTGTGTTCTCATTTTTTGACAAGTTATCTGGAAACACTGATATCGCATGTGGTTAGGATTGGATGAAATGTGAATTTTGAGACAGTTGTTACCAAGAAAAATTTTCAGCATAGTAACTGCAACAGATTTGTCTTTCTGAGGGGTCTTTGATAATGGAAGACGTTCTGTTCATGTTCTTGTTTTGAGACTATTGTAAGCCGGTGAGAGAATGTTGTTTTGTTACTTTTTGTTAAAAATATATATCTCAATACGTTTTTAGGAAAAGGACAACAACAACAAACCCAGTAGTTTCCCATCAGTGGGGTCTGGGGAGGGTAAGATGTACGCAGTCTTACCCCTACCCCTGGAAGGGCAGAGAGGATGTTTCCGATGTTTTTAGGAAAAGGACCATTTTTAAAAAGAAATAGACAAAATGTGCACACTTGCTTTGAAAACCATCCTTTTCTCCACACCCTTACTACTCTACCACCTGCCAATTTACCTACTCACCCTTTGTTAGTCACTCCGCATTTGTTTTAAAGAAATTTTCATGCCATTAGATCTGCTTCAGCTTTTTAGTCTTTTTTTTTATGTCAGTTCTGCCGAAACAACAAAAAATGTATTACTTTGAAATATTAGCAGGAACATTTCTAGCTATCAAACAAGCCCAGGAGCTGTTGCAGTGATTTACCAAAATAAGCCAGTGAAAACATGTTGTCCTTCATATTAGTTTTAAGTATTTTGAATTTTAAGTTGCGATGTCACATCACAGGATCTTTGCTAGTCTCCATCAACTGTTTCAGATGTAATTTTCTTACTGCAGATATGGATGACTTCTTGTGACTCCTTTCACAATGTCCCTTTTGAATTGTTGCTTTCCTGTGTAAAACATCCTTGTTTGACAGTAGATAGGTTGGTACTCTCTTTATCTGTTAAAATAAAGGGTTGCCTGATGCAATGTCTTATTTCAACTGCAATACTGATTCCATGGTGACTTTTCACAGTGAGAAACATCTTTGTGATGCTATTCTACTATGGCTTGCCGCCAACACCATCCCATATGATCTTTTGAACTCCACTGGGGATGCTCGCGTTGCAATTTTCACAGAGGTATAAGATACTGGAGAGATTGTGTTCAATCACATGATATTTTCAATTGAATTTTGTCTGTCTTTNGGGGGGGGGGGGGGGTTGACAATTTCTCAGGGTATTCTTTCAGAATTGAAGAAAACTGGAACTAGTCATGCACGGCTGCATGCTAAAGTGAGACTGCATTAGCAAATCAGGTTTAACAATCTGTGAAAGAATAATCTAGCTTACTTGGTGAGGTTAGTAGTCACTGCTGGTTTGGACATTTGCAATATAAGATTCCGGAAGTGTATATCCTTAATAAAAAAAAGGAGGATTCAGGATGTTTTTTTAAAACAGGCAAGAAGATTTGGGAAGTGGATATTCTTTCTCTTTTAACAAAATAATAGTGTTTTTTCCTCTTTGTTTTTGTTGTTTTATGACATCTCATATGCGTGACTCTTATCTTAGTTGATGACATGCCTATTTAACAGATTTTGAACCTCACACTCCGTTTTCTTGTAGAAAAAGAATATGGAGCAGCTGGTGCTCAGTTGTTTGGTTTTCTTTGCATATCTGATTTACGTATAATATTACAGGTGCATTGATCTCAGTCCTGGTCTTCCAGTTGACAAAGTGGTGCAGTTTGATAATTAACAATTATATTATATATGGAAGGTATTAATGTGAAATGAAACTCACAAGCAACTAAATCCCTTTTAGGTTAAAGGAAATTGTTGCCACTATTGCTTGAAAAATTAAACATCTAAAAGCTACAAGCTGAAGGCCTATGATTCTTGCACAGATATCTCTGCTATGTATGCATTTGAATCCTCTCTGGATTACACGAGTAATTTATGTAACCTTCATTGTCTTTTTGAACAGATCCGCACTAGCCTTTTGCCATTGCCATTAGCTGCGGGTATGAGCAGCCCTTTAAGTTGTTATTTTCAAAGCACTAACACTAAAGTGTTATGTATCATCTGATCATTTCCCTTTTTTTTTTTTTTTTTTTTTTTTTTTTTTTTTTTTTTTTTCATTTCAGGGAAACGGAGATGCCCCCTCTTCTCAAAGTTTGCAGAAAGAAGTGTGAATGCTATTCTTAGTTTAGCTACCTCCTCTTCCTTTAGCTTAGCAAACATTCTTGGAGGTGGTGATTTTAGTCAGCTCAGAATCCGCTTGACTGAATATACTAAGGTTTACATTTAGCAGCATCCTTTCAGTTCTTGTGGATTTTGGCTTTCATTTTCTATTTTAGATGCCAGAACAATATAATCAGTGTAACAACTCATGGTTTTCTTCTTTATCCCTTTAGAATGCTTGAAATCTTGGGACTAAAGTGGTAAGTCTGACCACTTAATTATGAAAGTCATTTCACTAAAAAATTGTAAATACATTTTTTAAGGTGTTGTTATTATCTAGAAGCAAAAGGAAAACAAAAGAAAAATAAAATTAAGGAGTATATATAATTTAATCTAAACCTAGACATATTGAGAGGTGGAGTTTCTTCGAATTATGATACCTTAACTTTTTTGCCGTTGTTTCTTCACTCGCTGCTGGTATTATGCTAATAATTGAAATGGGAAATGATTCTGCTTATAGTTTTCACTTCATCATATCTGTTCTTGGAGACTTTCAATTGAACTTGCTAGAACTTTGGGGATGATTTTTAAATGTAACTTTCTCCATTTAATCACTTGTTGGAAACTAAAAGATTAACCCATTAAACATCATCGAGAACATGCTTGCTTGCTTGATATAAAATGTTACTTAACAGTGTCAAAGTGAAGATATATTTTTGAAGTTTTCCTCTTTTACTGGAAATGTAGTTGTGAAATTTCATATAATGTAATCAACACTTACAACCATTTTTATTGCTTAGTTTCTTTTTTTTTCCTTTTCTGAATTTACTGTTACCATTCTAAAGAAATTCTTTTTTTTTCTGAATCTCCTCTGTAGATATTGGACCTTTCCGGCTGCCCACAAATTAGCTTGCCTCTTCTTCTCCTGTCCATGCTTCCTTTTTCCTATAGTGTGGACACAATGCTGACAAAGAAGCTTAATCAGCTTTCCCTCAAACTTGAGCCCTCTGATATGGATGTATCTCGGATTCCGTGGGAAAATTTTCCTGTTTTGACTTTTGAAGCAGTGGAAGTGGTGGATGTTTCAAATTGTCCTATGCTACATCTTGAGGCTGCCATTGAGTGCTTTTCCACGTCATTTCCATCCCTAACAACATTGAAAGCAGCTTATACTTTGAACTTCAGAACAATGAAGTTGTACCAATTGTTACAGAAATGCCCACTACTCTCAGACATCGATCTAACAGTGGAGAGTAATCCTGTGATACCAGCAAAGGTGTCAGTTATATCTTCATTCCCTGCTGTAAAGCTGCAGATATCAACATCTTTCAATGAAGAGACATGTCCTGCTGTACCAACGTTTCATTTTCCTAGGCGGCTCTGGAATATTACAAAACTCATATTGGAGGGTCGAACAGATATTTATGGTATGATATTTGTAGTCCAGCAGTCCTAGCTAAAACACCTTCCCACTACCAAAGAAAAGGAAAAGTCTCATTTTGAGAAATCGTTTGTTAGTTTCTGGCCCTTGAGATGAAACTTTTCAAAGAGACTAGTATTTTTCCTGCTGTACTTGATTCTTGGGGAAAGGGTATGAGCCTTAAAGCATATTTTGGTTATGAAAAGAATGCTAGGGAGGATGCCCCAAAAATAATACTTGATGTCTTTTTTCCGTTTTGCTATTTAAAATAGTACATGATGTCTCAGATAGCTTATATCCCGAAGGGGAAGGGAGGAAGACCAATTTAACAATAATTATCCTCTTATATTGGCAAAGTTTCCAGCCATCAAAATCATGCAATCTATACCATTGAACAGCCAGACTCAAAAGACTAAAAGAAAAGAACAGTATGAAACAGAACTACTGCTGCTGGTACCCAAAGGATTCATTTATGTTGTGTGGTTCCTTTGCTTTTTCCAAAACTCTAGCTATGTAATGTTGAATACTGTTTTTAGCTTTTATGTTGTGTTTTTTAAGTGAGACCACTTACATTTTCTCATGCATATACTTTAGGGGATCTCCTCTGTATGTAGTCTTGGAATCTCGTCCGTACTCTTCTCAAGCTGTTAGAAAATGTTTATTGAAAATTCAGCTTTCACGTATACTCTTAATAATATGATGCTCTCTGCATTGACCTAACATTGCTTCTCTTTGATATTCTCCAGATTCGGATCTCCACAATATTGCAGAGTGCTGCCCTTCCTTGTATTGTATTAACCTCAATGCGTGTACTTCCATAACGGATTCTGGAATATCCGTTATATTGCTGAAATGTGTTGGCCTACATTCAATCTTCGCTTGTGATACTTTGTTTGGGCACAATTGTGTTCTGTCGCTTTGTCGCGATATCTCCAGATTTGACGGTGTGGCAATAAAAATGGAAAAGAACACCAATTCATCAGCTTACAAACTTCAAATTCTGCATATAGGAGGCTGCAAAGGTGAGCAATGTTCTGGCTTTTGTTTTCTGCCTTGTATCCTCCATGTTAATGTTTGTTAACAGAACTGTGAGAAGGCACGGGAGAAAATATGTTATTGATATATTGAATGAATAAATAATACTACACAA